TAAAACAGGAATTATTACTGGAGATTCGGGTTCACTTCAAAATGATCAAATAAATGATCTACCAGGAAGACAGAACAATTGTATTTTTATCAGTATCTACTACCTAAGCATCAAAATATATCTAAAATAAATTAGCACAGCCAATCAGTAGACTTAAACTAGAAGAATTTGCTGATTTAAAAAAAAAATCAATCAAGAAACACACAAACATACTGGCAGGTATCAACATCCATCTCTCATAGAAACATTAAAAAATGACAGTGTTAATATTTATATAGAGAGACTATTACTTACCAAACAACACAATATATATTGTTTTCAAATGCACATGGAATACTTATTAAATTTGATTATATTATGTATCTTAAGCATGCTTTTGCCGATTTCAAGGGACAAAACAAGTTAAATGTAGTCTCATAAATGTCTATCAGGTGAGAATTCAGTATAAAAAGGAAATTCGACACATTTCTGTGCTTATTAGATAAAAGGGTTATCAGTCACAGATGCTGCCACAAACAAAAACCATCAAGGCATAACAGAAAAATGGGGTGGGGAGTGATAGTTGTTGTCTCTGCCACAGCATTGCAACATCCCACTTAGGACTTTACTTTCTCTTTGGGGCAGAGACATATAACAGCCCAGGGAACTGTGAGCCTAGGCTCTTAGAAGGGCTGGTCTCAGCCTTGAGGGAGAACAGGAGACGTTTCAAGCAGGAGGAGGATCCCACCATGCGCTGCCCTGGCTTGCTGTGGGCTCTCCTGGCCTCCTTGGGCTTCAGTACGTGGGGCCTGAACCTGGGGTCGCAGCATCCACTTAGAGGACACTGTACCTGCAGGGGAGTTAGAGGAAGGGAGGTGGGAAATGAACCACACTGCATCCTTTACTTTGTCCTTGTGTCCTAAATTAACCTTGTCCTCAATACCCATCTGAGACATTTCAGAGCACCAATCTGTCTTCTGCTTTTCCCCAGGATCCAGCATGGCTAACAATGTAACCCAGGATCAGAGCTCAATCACAGCGCAGGAGGGAGACCCTGGGATCTTGGACTGCACATATGAAACCAGTTGGAGTAATTATTATCTGAGCTGGTACAAACAGACTCCCAGTGGAGAGATAGTTTTCCTTATTTATCAGCCTTCTAATCAGCCAAATAAAAGGTATGATCGCTACATGATGAAATTTCAAAAGGAAAAACAATCTATCAGCCTTATCATCACTTCATTAAAATTGGAAGACTCTGCAAAGTACTTCTGCACTCTGGAACCACAGTAATGGAAATGACAGTGGAAGTTTAACAAAAACTTTGAGCTCCCCACAGGCAGCACCTGGTCAGAGGCTTAGGAAAACCTTGAACCACAGACAGGAAGAAGCCAGCCCTGTGGGGGCACAGCTGAGACCTTCCTATTTCACTTCCCTCTATAAAAGTGTTTCCATATTTGATATCAGCGTGACAACATCTATAGAGACAGCAGCCAGCTCAATGTGTCTGTTCCCGAAAGTTCATATAGTGAACCCTCCCTAACAGGTGATGGTAGTACAGATGGGGACTTAAAAAACACTTCAGTGGTTTTTAAAAGAGAATCCAGGGAGACCCCTCCCCTTCACCCTGTGAGAACAAGTGAGAAGGTGCCATCAGGGAAGCAGAAGCAGGTCCTCACAAGACACCCAGTCCTCAGCAACTGGTCTCAGTGTCCCGCCCGCAGGACAGTGCAGGGGAGTAGCTGTTGTCTATGAGCTCCCCAGGCTGTGGGAATTTGTTTCACCAACCAGAGTGGACTAGCACAGAGACAGGGCAGATGAATGGTTTCCTCCCAGGCATTTCATGGGGGAAATGCTGATTAACAGCAACTAGTATAGATTCTTTGGGGGGGAAATCATGAAATGTTCCATGTTGGTTTCACAAGTCTGTGAAACCATGGACATGCACATTTCAAGGGTGAATGTCTGGTGTGTGAATTATATCTCTAGAAGGGGTTCTATGAAAAAAAAAAAACACAAAAGCTGCCATGTGCCCATTGTCCTGGGACTCAGCCTCTTTCCCCTCAGCATCTGACACAGTCTTAAGACCAGGAAAAATTGCACCCTTGTCTGACTCTATCATTATGTAACTAGGGGACATCATGATCGAACCTTTCATTTTTCTTTTAGCAACCCCAAATTTCATTCATTTATAGATTTACAATGACCTGAATTTCTATTGCTGCTTTATAACATGGCAAATAGTAGATGCACAATGAATACAATTGAATTATTGACTATACAATCACCACGCCAATCACTGCTGCATTCTCAAAACAAGACGTTTTCACAAGCCTACATTTGAGTATTTTGTGTAAGAGTCTGTGGGTGTTTCTTTGATTTTTTCCCACAGATCTAATCTTGTTGATTACCTTTGTCAAAATGTTTTCTAGTAAAATGGAAGTCTTGATTTAGAATAATTTTGGGGTTGATTTTATGTAACTTTCCCTAAAAATTAACTTTCAGTTCATAATATGGGCCAAATCTTTATAATCTCACTTTGTGGGTATGGACAGTGTCAAGGACATGGATAAATGTCTTCACAAATGCAGAGCAAAGACCACAACCTGCGGAAGAAAAGAGAGAGACTGTTTAGAGTTTAATTTTATTTTTTTATTTTTTTTTTAATTTTTTTAAAGAGGCATGTATTTTATTCATTTATTTATTTTTGTTTGTTTGTTTATACATGCACTAGGTACAGTCAGAAGTGCGGGAGGGTGAGAGAATTCACCAGAGCCAGAGCGGGGAGCAGAGCAGGCAGAAGGACCGAAGTACACTGCTGAGGGGAGCAGCGGGCGGCAGGAGAGGTCTGCCCGCCATGTGGGACCCTCCTCCGGTGGATGGGGAGCAACCGAGGATTGAACCAGCACCACAGAGGCCGTGGGCAGCTTCGCAACCCAGCGCTCAACCGCTGTACCACTGGGGAGGCCCTAGAGTTTAATTTTAAATGAACAATTATTTGTTCCTATTTGGGATTAGAAGGCTGAGCTTGTAGCAGGGAAGATGAGTAATTTTAGTTTTATCCCATTCCATTTCTTTAATAACCACTTGGTACAACCACAGAAATTCACTTTTCTACTTCCACCTCCTGCAAAATGGCTTCATTGCATTGCATTCTCAAGTTTTCTATTCCCATCTCTTCCTTTTTGTCTAAAAAAGGAATGGCCTCTTCTAGTGCCCTCATTACAGCCATCCCTAGTCAAAGCTTGGCACGAGAAAATTTATACCCAGGAATGGCCAATGGAATAGAAACAACATCGTTTACCAAGTCACTGGTTCAGATTCAAGACCAGGGTTTCTACCAGCCATGGGCGTGAGCACACACACTGCTGCTGACTGTCCCCAGCCCCGTCCAGATGCCTGAGTCAGGGATCACAAAGCCATGTGACCCCTGGAACAGCCCCTCTGACCATCGCCACAGACAGAGAGTCCAGGACCTTGATCCTGCCCCGGGTGACCCTGCTGACCCTGCTGTGCCCACGGTGTCCTGAGAGACGCACAGGGGACAGAGGGGCTGCCCCCAGGCAGTGTGTTCCCGCTGGGGGGTTGGGGGAGCCCAGCCAGCTCCAGGAGCCACTGCACAAGCATCCACACACGCTCAGCAGGAGAAACAAAGGAAAGGAGAAAAAGGGGAAGAAGAAATGAGATGAGAGTGAGCAAGTAAGGAGGGGAGAATGAAAAGAACAAAGAAGGTGAGGAGGAACCGCTTGCCCTCCCCAAGGGACTGAGAGGCTTGCAAGGAAACTAACACTCAATTGTAATCCTGCAGTAAAGGGAAAGGAAGTGAGGATTTGCCATGGCTCTTTACTTTAATCAAAAGTTCTTTTCCAGTCTCACTAAAAAAAGTGAGAACCACCATGTCTTTTTCTCCAAGATGTTCCTCCTGTACATGGGAAGAGCTCAGGGCTGTACATTGCACCATGTTAGAACTTCCAGCCTCTCAAAATTGCAATGAATTTGAATCTTGAGAAAAAATAGATTTTCTGTTGTTGCTTATCTATAGCACACACTAGAGGCATAGATAATTTGGGGGCAGAAATTCAAAAGGACAGATGTATGGATAATATTTCATTTTTGTTAAGTATTTTTTATTATTACAAAAATAGCACAGGCCTCCCTGGTGGCGCAAGGGGTTAAGCACCGCACTATGAAGCAATCCGCAGCCTCTGCAGCACAAGTTGGATCCCAGGCTGGCCAGGGAGCAACCCACATGGCACAGCCAACCTCTCCTGTCTCGCCTGCTACTCCCCTCAGCAGTGTATTTCAGTCAATCTCCCTGTTCTGATCCCCACTCTGTCTCTGGGGGACCCTCTCACCAGCCCCCCCACCTCTGGCCTGTACCTCAGATCTTGTATGCATAAATAAATAAATCTTTTAAAAAATCACAAATCTCTTCATTTAAGCAAACTCAAGATATTGCGTAGGGATGTAGAAGAAAATCAGGAAACTGAAACTGTTTCTGCTCACATCAATCCATTTTTCTCTTCAGTTCCTATGATAGCCTATTGAAACAGTTTGGACTGGGTCCTGACCATCTCATTCCTATTTTTTTTTAAAGAAATACTAAAATAAAAACAACTTGCTGAAAATGCATGTATTGTGACACAATTTTGTAAAAAGTTGTGTATTTCTTTTTTTATTTAAAAAATGCTTTTTGACCCCTGTGGCTTGAGCAGCAGGGATGTTGAGGGAAGATGTGGGTGTGGGTCAGAGTGTGGGCGGGGGCTGGGAGGTGGGTGTTGGGAGAGTGTTGTAGAGCAGGGTGCCCTTGGTTCCCAACACTGCCCTCAATGAGCCAGCGATGTTTTCTTTGTATGTTCGGCCCCAACACTGGCTGGCGGTGCTGCTTGCTAGGAGCCTGAGAGGATTATGAAAATTTGGTGAAGCTGGGTCAGGGGGCTTGGGGCAGAGAATATGGGGGGAAAAGGTCAGGCTAGAGATGAGGGAAGCTTAGAGGCCTCAGCTGCTGCCACTGTAAACCCTGGTGGGTGATGACCTGGCCACTGTGCAATCTGAGTTCTGAGAACCAGGTAATGGAGCCGGTTCTGACTTGGACCGTGACCCGGAAAAAAAAATGCTTTTTGATGTGTTCTTAAACAAACACACACACACACACACACACACACACACACACACAAGCTCGTGCAACACTCACACTTTGTTATTTTTTCTCATTTAAGTTGTGTCAAGAAAAATATCATTACAAACTAGGGAGAATGGCATCATAAACTACTTAGAACCTATCATTCCTCTTCAACAACCACAAATTAGTTATCTCATTCTTTTCCAAAGCTGCAAAATTCTCTAAGTGAAAATGCAAATTTTATTTAGTCAACTCCCACTTAATGGACACAGATTGTGTACAAATTAATAATTGGCTTGTTTGTGATACAAACAGCGCATCTAGAGTAAGGCTGGCAAGAGTGTAGTGCCATGCCCCACACAATACCATCATCACAACTAAGACGCAGAACATTCCCCCGACCCTGAAAACATCCGCCCTTCCTCCTCCCAGTCAGTATCCTCACGGATGTGAACGTTGCTCTCACTTACACAAAACCACGAAAGATTTTGTCTGTTGCATTTTGATAAATGGAGGAATATTTCACAAAACATAAAATTCACACATTTAAAGTCTAAAATTCAGTCAGTTTTAATATCTTCACTAAGCTGTGCAACCATCATGACCATTCCAGGATTCCAGGGCTTCCAGAAATAAAACCCATACCATTAAAGAGTCACTCCTACCCACCCACCCCCGCCCCAGCCCCTAACAACAGCTCTTCTGCTCTCTGTTCTGTGGATTTCCCTGTTCTACATCATTTATACAGATGAATCCTACAATGTGCGACTTTAGTCAGTGGTCTCAGGCTGCACATTTGTGGTCAAGTTATTGTAAAGACATAAGTTTTTAGTATCGTGGCTACATACATAAATGTGAAGTTGCTCTTCCTATGGAAACTTTATGTTTAGCATTTTGAGGAATTGTTGAACTGTTTTCCAAAGTGACTTTTTTTTTAAAAAAGATTTATTTATTTATACAAGCACCGGGTACAGTCAGAAGCGCGGGAGGGTGAGAGAATTCACCAGAGCCAGAGCGGGGAGCAGAGCAGGCAGAAGGACCGAAGGACACTGCTGAGGGGAGCAGCGGGCGGCAGGAGAGGTCTGCGCGCCATGTGAGACCCTCCTCCGGTGGCCGGGGAGCAGCCGGGGATCGAACCGGCACTGCAGAGGCTGCGGGCAGCTTCGCAACCCAGCGCTCAACCGCTGCGCCACCGGGGAGGCCCTAGGGTTGGTTTTTGTTTTTGTTTTTTTTTTTATAGTTAAGTTGTAAGATCCTTTATAAGTCTAGATACCAGAACCTTCGTAGACATGTTCTTTTCTAAATAATTTTTCCCATTCTGTGGGTTGTATCTTTCACTTTCTTAATATTGTCTTTTGAAGCAGAAGAGGTTTTAACTTTGATAAAGTCTACTTTATCCATGTTTTTATTTACTTGGTGTAGAGGGCAGGACAGGACACAGTGCAGGTTTTCTGATCTCATGCAGACCGGGTAAAGGAGGAGTCAGAGTCCTCAGTGGTTTTTGCAGGTCTTTTATTGGGATTGACCCGGTACACAGCAGGCAAGGGTGCTGGGGGGCTGGGAGGCTGGCAGGCCTCCCAGCCCTCCCAGCCCCCAGCAAGTCTTCATTCTATCTGGGCTCTCCAGTGATCTCTGCTTCTGCTTCTTTGCTTCTCTCAGGGCTTTTCTTTCAGCTTCTGCTGGCATCCCTGTGATGCCTCCCTTAAAAGCCCAGTCTCAGCCCAGGTGAATCCCATCTACCTATGCCCACACCCTACTCCAGGTGCCCGCCATCAGGCATGCATTCAGGACCGCAAGGATCCATCATCTATCCTGATGACGGGAGGGCAGAAAAGCCTGACATTTTTCCTTACCCTACACTTGGGATGTGATGTCAGGTTTAATAAAGATTGCCAAATCAAGGTGCACAAAGATTTGCACCTTTCCTGTCTAAGATCGTATAGGGTTATTTTGAATATTGTCATATATCCATTTGAATAAAGTCATATATCCATTTTAGGTTAATATTTAAATATGGTGGGAGATGGGGGTCTAATACAATCAAGCAAGAGATTTGGAGCCTCTGAAGAAACCTGATTATCATTACTAACATCAGATAGTGCTGACATTAAAGCAGGAATTATTGCTAGAGATACAAGGGACACTTCAACATGATTAGGTGCATGATCTACCAGGAAGCTAGAACAATTCTATTTTTATAAATACCTACTACCTTAGCTTCAAAATAGATCTAAGATAAATTAATAGAGTTAATATGTAGATTTAAAGTAGAAGAATTTAATGACTTAAAAAAATCAAAAATACACAAACACACTGGCAGGCATTAATATCTATCTCTGATAGAAACATAAAGATAATATGATCAATTAATAGAATTAGTAAGAATTAATAATTACATATATAGAACACTTTCTACCAACCAAAATACATATTCTATTCAAATGCACATGGGATGTTTATTAAAGTTGATTGTGTCTTAAACTACCTTTAACAAGTTTCAGATGACTTAAATTACTTATAATGTAGTGTCTGATCACAATAGTTTTAAGGGAAAATTCAGTAATAAGATGGTAATTAAACTTCATTCTTGTGCTTGTTAGAGACAGCAATTATTACTCACGGATGCTGCCACAGAAAAAACATGAAGGCACAACAGATCACTGGTGCAGAAGGAGGGTGTGAGTGTTTGGCCTGTGACACAACAGTGCAACATCCTACTGATGACTTTACTTCCTCTTTGGTGCAGACACATAAAACAACCTAGAAACTCTGCAGTCAGAAAGTCAGAAGGGCTGGTCTCTGGTCTTGACGGAGAACAGGAGGCGTTTCAAGCAGGAGGAGGATCCCACCATGCGCTGCCCTGGCCTGCTGTGGGCTCTCCTGGCCTCCTTGGGCTTCAGTATGTGGGGCCTGAACCTGGGGTCTCAGCATCCTCTTAGAGGACACTACACCTCTGGGGTGTTAGAGGAAGGGAGGTGGGAAATGAACCACTGTGATCCTTTTCTTGGTCCTTGAGTCCTAAATTAATTTTGTCCTTAACTTCCATCAATGGACCAACCCTGTCTTCTGCTTTTTCCCCAGGATCCAGCATGGCTGCCAATATAACCCAAGATCAGAGCCTAGTCACAGAGCAGAGTGGAAACCCTGGGATCTTGGACTGCACATATGAACCCAGTTGGCCTAATTATGTTCTGGGCTGGTACAAACAAACTCCCAGTGGAAAGATGGTTTTCCTTATTAATCAGGGTTCTAATCGGCCAAATGAAAGGAAAGGTCGCTACATGGTGAACTTTCAAAAGGGAAGAAAGTATATCAGCCTTATCATCGATTCATTAGAACTGGAAGACTCTGCAAAGTACTTCTGTAGTATCCAAGAATGGACCACAGTAATTGAAATGACAGTGGAAGTTTAACAAAAACCTTGAGCTCCCTATAGGCAGCACCTGGTCAGAGGCTTAGGAAAACCATGAACCACAGATAGGAAGAAGCCAGCCCTGTGGAGGCACAGCTGAGACCTTCCTGATGTCAACTTTCCTCTATAAAAGTGTTCCCATATTTGATGTCAGTGTGAGAACGTCCATAGAGACAGCAACCAGCTCAATGTGTCTGTTCCCAAATGTTCATACGGTGAACCCTCTCCAACAGGTGATGGTAGTACAGATGGGGACTTAAACAACACTTCAGTGGTTTTTAAAAGAATCTCCAGGGAGACCCCTCCCCTTCACCCTATGAGAACAGGTGAGAAGGTGCCATCAGGGAAGCAGAAGCAAGTCCTCACGAGACACCCAGTCCTCAGCACCTGGTCTCAGTGTCCCGCCCGCAGGACAGTGACAGGGGAGTAACCATCATCTACAAGCTTTCCAGGCTGTGGGAATTTGTTTCACCAGCCAGAGTGGACTAGCAGAGACAGAGAAGATGAATAGTTGCTTCCCAGGCATTTCTTGGGGAGAATGGTTGATCGACTGACTGCTAGTGGGCAAAAAATCTTTTAGATGGATCTTGAAATGTTCTATAATTGGTTGTTGGTGCTGCACCAGTCTGTGAAAGACCATGGACTTGCGCTCTTCAGTGATGAAAGTTTGTTATGTGAATATCTCCAGAAGCTGTTCTATGAAACAAGCAACACAAAAACCACCACCTACCTATTGTTCTGGGACTCAGCCTCTTTCCCCACAGCATCAGACACATAGTCATGAGACCAGATAAAAATTGCAGCCTTATCTGTCTGCATCATTATGTAACTAAGTGACTTAATGATTCCGACCTTTCATTTCTCTTTCAGCAACCCCAAATTTTGTTCATTTATGGATTTACAATGACCTGAATTTCTATTGCTGCTTTATAGTCTGGCAAATAGTAGATGCACAGTGACTATTACTAGCGTTAAGTATTGACTGTGCAACCACCACATATTCGCTACCTTATTCTCATAACGAGGCTTTCACAAACTTACATTTGTGGGTTTTTTTCTTGTTAATAAGAATCTGTGGGCTATTTCCTTGACTTTTGCCACAGATACAACCTGAATTTATCTTCATATTGACTATTATTGTCAATTTGTTTTCTAGAAAACTAGAAATCTTATCTAGAGTAAACTGAGAGTGAGTGTAACCTGTCGACTCAAAAAATTAATATTCCACTTTATTACTGACGGGGCCTAATCTTATTCTAAAAAATGAATACTGTGGATTTGGGGAGCTGCCTTCAAGGAGAAAAGAACAAGATAATAAAAAAAAAGTAAAGAAATTCAATTACTGGGAAAATACCACCCCAAAATGCTATTAACTCCATCTTTAATCTTAATCTTATAGCTGTTCTTCCACAGCCTCACCACTATAGGGAGGGAGCATATATAAGATAGCGATTTTTACACCTGAAATACAAATCCTGAAAGATGATCGACTTGATTCCTAGTTTTAAGTAAAGAAGTTCATGTAAACAGTCACAGGAAGAAGCTGTTACAACTACAAATCCAAACTCC